AGTTGAATCCAGTTGCGGTTCTCTTAGAAGAGCGACGGATTAAAAGGGAACTTAACCTTTAAAGCACGAAACGAGCTCACGCTTTTGTGCGATAAAGTAACCAAAGCAAAATTTCAACTTCTTATAGAATCTTTTGGGTTCAACTTTTTACTTTCAATTATGGGAGATTTTATGGACTCTCGATATATTGCCGATGAAAATATAGCAACTTTTAAAGAGAGTTTTAGTAGGAGAAGGTCTTTAATGTATGAATTTTATGATGCGAATTAATGAGATAGTTTTATAAGGATGAAAGGCCATTGGTTAAACAAGTTTAGGTTAATTTGGCAATATAACGCGAGTCTACTGTAACAATTCATTAGGAGCAAAATTCTTGAGAATATATTCAAAAAATGGCTGTCAGAAGTATACACTTGATGTACATATCATAAAAACAATTAAATTTGATGAAGATTAAATTTATAATTAATTTTATTTGATTTTTAGCAAAGTATAAAAATGACAGTGTAAAATTGATTTTATCAAAAAACAAAATTAATTTCACTCCTTAGTTACTTTATAAAAATGATTAATTTTATTGATTTTTATAAATCATATTGACTTTATCAATTTTATTGATCTTACTAATTTTATTGATTTTATACATTCTACTGATCTTATTCATTTTTGTAATTTTATCAATTTTATTGTTTTTATAAATTTCACTATTTTTATTGATTTTATTAATTTCATCAATTTTATTGATTTTATTAAATTGATTAATTTTATTGATATTATTAAATTGATTAATTTTATCGATTTTATTAAATTGATTAATTTTATTGATTTTATTAATTTGATTAATTTATTGATAATGTGAAAGACAGATTCAATTTTTTGAAGGCAGATAACCTAAATAAAGTTCCCTTTTATTTCATTACCCTGCAATAAAAGAAGATCCAATTATTTACAGTAATAAATAAAGTCTAGTGAAATTGAACGCATTACTCGAAAGCAGCTTGCGCAGAATTTCACGACGAAAGGAATGAAAACTAAAGTTACTTAAAAAGTTCGCGTCGTCCATCTCGGTGAGCATTGTAGCGCGTAAAGAGAGGGTTTTAAGGTGTCACTTCCTCCTGAATAAACAAGAAAAAATTCTTCCAAGAAGTTGGACACAGCATTTTATAGCACCTACATTTGCTGTCAGTCTGCGCAATTTATTTGTTTAACAACTTTTTCGCGAGTTTTCAGTTTTCTACATGCAACTTTCGAAAGTCCGTAAACACACCACTAAATTTAACCCTTCGCGAGTAAACACACTTTTTCGCATTACGTATACAAATTGCGTTCAGCGTTTTACACTTTTAAAAAATTTAAAAACATGAAAAAAATTGTGAAAGACTGTTTTATGTTGTATAACAGAATTGCTGTGTTAAATGTGTGAATTTTTATATCATATTAAAAATAAAAATTTACAAGTGTACAAAATTGATGAGTTCAAAATTAGTGTGTAGAAGAAGTTACATTAAAATTAAATAAAATCGAACGTTGTTGTAAATAAATAATAAAATAGGGGTAGTTATTTCGAAATTTTAAAATTGATGTATAAAAAAAATTACTGCAATCAAATTTTTAAATATTGAGTCTGGTAATAAATAATAGTTCAAAAGAAAATTAATTTGCAAATATAGAAGTTATTAAATGTTGAGAAAATTTAACAAGAAAATAATAAAATGAAGCAGCAATTTGGAAATATCAAAATTGTTACATAAAAATAGTTACATCCTCAATCAAATAAAAAAAAAAAATAAATTGACAAGATTAAAATTGTCATATAACAAAAAATTGTTATCTAAAAATGATTAAAGAATTGTCAAATATTAATTCTAGCAATAAACTAGAGGAGAACAATAAATATTAAAAATTAAAAATGATATAAAAATATAAAAATAGTTTTTCAAAGAAATAACTCCGCAAAATTACAGCAATCTGAAAAGCAGCAGTAAAGAAATAATAATTAAACCGAAAAGCGCACGATTACAGCAGTAACTTGTGGATAAAGCGTATTTTCTTCAACCGTTATTTTACCGGTTCTCTTTTACAGCAGCATCGCCATACAGTTTTTCCTGCACTTTTTCCCGTGCACATCTCAACTCGGAGAAATTCCTCCACTATCGTGTGTGCGATCGTGTAAAGCTCATTCATTTGCTCGGTGTTATTTATCCTAGCCACGCTGCGAATCCCATTTTTCTTACCACCTTATCCAAAACAAAACGAAACGGTGCAGACGGACAAAAAGATTGTGTCTCGTTAGAGGAAGGACCACGAATTTACATTATTCTGGAGGATATAGCGAGTCACGACCCAAAATTCATACGTTGCGTTTACATATTTTAATTTTTAACGTGTATTCAAGGTTTGTAGGATAGCTGTTTATCATGCATTCACATGTGTGCCACTTTTTGGGGTTGTGTGTAGAGGGAATTTGATGTTTTTTTAATGTAATGATGTGGTTAGGTGGTCGTTAGATTTTTAGGTTTTTGAGGTGTTGGATTAGTAAGTTTAGGTATTTGAAATTTTTGTAGTTGAATTTCAAGATTGTTAATTTTACAAGTTCTCAGTTTTCCAATTTGTAGATTTTCTAATTACCTGCTTCCAACTTCCCACATTGTCCTATTCCCATATTGTCCTATTTCCACATTGTCTAATTCCCACATTGTCCAATTTCCACATTGTCCTATTCCCACATTGTCCAATTCCCACCTTCCCCAATTCCCACATTATCCAATTCCAACATTGTCCAATTCCCACATTGTCTAATTCCCACATTGTCCAATTCCCACATTGACCTATTTCCACATTGTCTGATTCCCCCCTTGTCCTATTTCCACATTGACCAATTTCCACCTTCCCCAATTCCTACATTGTCCAATTCCAATTGCAATACACAATTCTGCCGCAAACGGACCAGTTCTCATCGTCTGGGTTCCCTCAGACCTCGAGCAAACCGAGGCCGAGGATCATCAAATATACCATGGGGATGCTGATGATCCTCATTATTTTGTCCTGCGTGGCGACGCCGTTCCTGATGAATCAAAACGACCAGAGTCTGTTCGCCAACACCGTTTTAGCGATGAGTCGCGTCAGTCACAACACAATAGCCAGAAATTCGTCGAGGAGTCAAGGAAAAGATATCGTGCACAAAAGCAAAAGTAAATTCCCTGTGACGACCGCATCGTCCGCGGAAATGTACAGAAAATCGGATGCTGAAGACGAAATGAATACGATGCCGGGGGTGTTGAAGGCGGAGATACAACAGACCGAGGATTTTACGACCACGGGTTAGTATTCTTTGCGGAATTTATATTATTTATGGACGTTTGTGATTTTTTGTATCTTCGAGTAGATATGGTGGGGGTTTTGGTAGGGAATCGATGGGGGTGTAAAGTTGAGATGCGGTGCGATGCAGGTGCGTCATGACGCACTTTGGGAAATGTGGGAATTGTTCTGTAATTTGGGGTTTTTGTAGGTGCTTAAATTTCTGATTTCCCCAATTTCTGTATTTTCCAATTTTCATATTGTCCTATTCTCACGTTGTCCTATTCCCACATTGTCCTATACCCATATTGTCCAATTCCCACATTGTGCAATTTCCACATTTCCCACTTTTCAAATTTCCCAATTCCCACTCTTTCCAATTTCCACATTGTCCTATTCCCACATTGTCCAATTCCCACCTTCCCCAATTCCCACATTATCCAATTCCAACATTGTCCAATTCCCACATTGTCTAATTCCCACATTGTCCAATTCCCACATTGTCCAATTTCTACATTGTCCAATTCCCACATTGTCCAATTTCTACATTGTCCAATTCCCACATTGTCCAATTTCAACATTGTCCAATTCCCACATTGTCCAATTTCCATTTTCCCCAATTCCCACATTGTCCTATTCCCACATTTTCCAATTCCCACATTGTCTAATTTCCACCTTCTCCAATTCCCATATTGTCCAATTCCCACATTGTCCAATCACCACCTTCCTCAATTCCCATCTCTCCCAACTTCCACTTTCCCAAATTCCCAAATTCCCAAATTCCCAAACCCTGAAATATCGGAAAGCTTGCACGTCACTCGACGCCATCACTACCACTCTCTATAATCATTCAACACCGTCAAAATCATGTATTCTCACAGAAAGTCAACATCACAGGCCGTCAAACGTTCAAAGATTCATAAGTCGTATAAGGTAAACTCATATTCCAAATACGTCGGCGATATTTCAGCGCCCGCGCGTGACTTTGACAGCATAATAACGTAGAAATGTGGTCATCAACATGGATTCTCCTATGCAATTTAATGAACGGTCTTCTCTACACCAGTAAAATAATTGTATTACGGCCACAAAGCGTGTTCGAGCCGCATTACGCTATCGACAACCCATTTTGTCGATTGAACTGCTTCCTAGTCAATGTGTACAACCATCATTTTCCTGTGTAGTCATTTCCGGTGAAAGATATACATTAAATTACAGTTGAACTCGTGCTATACGTTTATTCTCTATATTTTTAATTTATCACTAAAATTACTTGCTTCAAATTACTTTTAAATATTATAATATTATTTTTACTGTTTAAACTTAAAAATTAAAGTGTAAAGGTAAATTAATAAATACTCAGTTTACTAGTATATATGTATAATTATTCTTTATGTGAACAAAATATGACACACACGATAACTTGATTATATTATGTACATTTTTATATTACATATGTGATATTGTATAGTCATATGATTGTATGAACAAATATGTATATGACAAATTGCTACAAAGTTTTATAATATAAAATTTAATCATGAAATAGAAGTCACAATTATAAAAGTACGAATATTCAACACTTGCATATTTCCTTATTCAATAAGATAATAGTATTTCAATGTTCAATTTCCATGAATAGAGAAACGATATCCCATATTAATTTAAGAAATAGACAGTAAATTGTTCTTTTTTAATTTCAGGAGTAGAAGCACCACCAAGAAACGATTCAGTACGTCTGGAACCAGGACCGCTTGTGAATGGTGCTGGAACACTTTACGTCGCCGCGACATGTGCTTGCGCCTTAATATTAGTCGTCGGTAGTGTAGCCAGCGCCTTGTACATTCGCAACAGCAAGGCTCGTATTCAAGAGTCGCAGTAAGTTCAATTTCACAGATACACTCACTCGCTCTACGAAATTACTCTCTCACCACGGAATTCTTTGAAAAGTAATATTAACTGCGATTGAAGGGCGGAAACTGGCTGTGAGCGCCATTTTGTTCGACACTTGCTGGTCAGGAAAATGGCGTTCACTTCAAAAGAAATATCATTATTGATATAAATATTATTTTTAGAAAGATACATTTGTTTTTGAAATTTATTCTTCAAATTTATTGTTGTTTGCTTGATAATTATTCTTCCTAATAATTATAAATTATTGTGAATTATTTTTTTGTTTGTAAAAATATTTACAAGAAGCAAGTATTAGTATACTTTTTCAATAAATAATATGCTTATCAGTAAATATAATTATAATTAAATAACAGTTTGATGAAGACCAATTTTTTCTTCAGAAACTTTTTTATTATAATTATAATTTAATTTGTTTATGCTCTTCCATTGCAAGCAACGTTCAAATAAAAATGTCTCCAACGAATGAAATAGCTGGATTTGAACTATGTAATCTTGATTAATATAATGATTAATATAATTTTTCTTCATGAATATTCTTGTATTGAATGTTTGAGAATAAACATTTGGAAACATGGCTTAATAGAGAAAATTATATTTATAATACGCGTAGTACGTATTAGTATAATGCATTAGTCGAGAGCTTTGCTCATGTCGAACAAAGTTAACGAGATATCGATAAATAATCCAATCAACGAGACGGCGAAACCAAAGTGACGAGATTTCATGAAAACGAGATACGTTCGCTAATCTCCCGCGGGAGAAAGCTTCACGATTAAGCATCGATCGAACATTCCGCTTATTAAAACGATAATTTCATATCGTGCCTCGAGCACAATCGCGTTCATTCGCGTATAAACCGGAATCGTCGACAAACGGCTCGTGGTTCTGTAGAGACACAACTTGTTCCATATCCAGCGTGATGGCTTTCCCTCGGGAAAATGTCGGTGCAGAGGAAAAAGAGAAGCATCATCTAACTCTCGAGTTTAGAGACATACTTTGATATTTTTATTGATAGAATTCTAAATGGTATTTAAATTTGATTTCAGGTGGTTTAATTTGATTGAGGGTAGTTCAATTTCATTGTGAAAGGTAGTTTAATTTGAGAATGAAAAGTGGTTTAACACTAAAACTATCAAACCGGTCAAATGACCGCTCCATAAGTATCTTAAGGAACACATTTTGTTAAACTACATTCCTTAAAATCAGCATTGATTTTCATCAAGATAAAGAATAAATGTGCGTACAATTCGTGTTTGGTCGTTTGTTTATTTATTTTTCAACTTCATTTTTAATTTCAAATTAAGTACGTATTGTACGTCGGTAGATTTAGTGTTAATCAGATACTGAAAGTAGATTAATTCAATATACGTCTCCAAATCGCTATGTCTCGAAGTCGGTACAAACCTTAATCGCTATGTGTCCAAATCAATACATTCCCAAATCACTACGTGCTTAAATAGCTACAGCCCCAGTTAGTCATAGTAGAAAAATGGCCGCCATGAGTTATCCGTACTAAACCCTAACTAATGCCTACATGTAGTCTACCTCTACTCTCCGTATCTCGCAAGAAATCTCATCAAACGGAAAAACTGTGACATTCCCCGTCTCAAAGCACGACATTCCAGTAGAAGTTCGCATCTACTAATTAGGTCCATACAATTCTATGCATCTACCATTTGCATTTAGGAGCATGCTCGTAGAAACTGCCGTAATCCCCGCATTGTCCCGGGAGACTTCTTTCAAGGCGCGCACAGTAGAACATCGGATTTTTTCACGTATCGCCGGTCTCATTTCCCACGAGCAGACAGAGCGAAAAGTCGCGAACGTATTCCAGTGTCGTGAATTTCCCGTTGGATAGAGAAGATGTACCCGGGGTTCGCCTAAGGGAGCGGGATAGCAGAGAAAGATTTCTGCACCCCCGCGGGAAATTCGTGGGATAAGCTGGATAGGAACTCGTCCGCATGAAATATCCTTTCAATAAGCCCCGGTGATCCGTCGGTCGCTCGCAACGGCAGCCGACATTTTATTGCGCGTTCCCGTTTCGAGAGGACTTTCGCGCTAGAGAGGATGTAAGAAGCGGATCCCGGCAAAGAGACAACCACTCCTCTCTTTTTACCCTTGTTCCCCCCTTTTTTTCCTCTCATTTTCTCTACTCTTCGAGAGCGGACTTTAACGCGTGAAATACTTCCTCGAGAGCTAAACGATTCGAGCTGATACTCCTGCAGGAAGTAGATGATCTGTTTTGCTGGTTTCAGGTTGTTTCGGGTTAGAAATTGTTGATCTCTGTTCTCGTTCGAGTTTTTATCTACTTTTTTTATTTGATATTAACTTTATTTTAAATTTCATTTATTTAAGATATTAACTTTATTTTAAATTTCATTTATTTAAGTTTAATTTATTTGATTCAAGTTTCGTTGAGTTAATTTCAGCTGAAGTTTATTTGGATTTTTTTATAAAAAGTGTAATTAGGAAACAGTTCAACTTTTTCGACTCTTTCAGAATTGTATCAGTTCTATGGTTAAGACGATGGTGTCTTTAATTATTTAGTTTCTTTAAATTATTATAATTATTATTGAATTGTTGAATTTATTAAAATTATTGAATTTATTGAAATTATTGAATTATTGAATTATTGAATTATTGAATTTATTAAAATTATTGAATTATTGAATTCATTCAATGTATATATTGAATATATACATTTAATATATCAATTATTGAATTTATTAAAATTATTGAAATTATTGGCATCATTGAAATTATAGAAATTATTGAAATTATGGAAATTATTAAACTTGTAAGATTTAATTATTGGATTGAACTACTTTGGTAAATCTTCGAGTTTGCAAGTATACTGTGTCCCTCACGTTTCACCAGAAATGCTTCAACGTAGAGCGTGCTTCTCTAACTTCAGATATTACTGTTGTTGCAGTAGGCTACATTAGTTATAGTTTAATATACATAGATAACCCATGAGTTATGTGACCCAAAGAACTTCTATCTACATTTCGGCAAGAAAGAATAATATTAACAATAACAATTGCATACAAGTTGCACTGTGTTAGACAAGTAACAACTGAGCACAATTCACTCTATCTCACTCACTCTGAAGACGTTTGTCGACTGTCATTGTTTTTGGCCTAATTAGTATGTGCGTGACTGCAGGAGCCAATTGCCGAAAGAAACTTCTTGGGAGTATAATAGGTATTTGCTCTGAGCAAGCTTGTTATTTTCATATAACTAAACCAGTTTTCGAACAGTAATTTCGAGCTAGTTTCGAACAATAAGTTTTGGACAGTAATGAACGTAATTAATAATATTCTGTGCTTAAAATAATTAGCTGACGAGAGTTATCCTTTCATATTTCTTGAGAGATACAGGTAATAAACATCTACGTTAATGATTTATTTTTTATTTTCACATAAACTTGTTTTGAAACAGCATCAGCAACAAATAAAACTAGTAATATCTTTTACTTTGACAAATCAGATTCGTGATGCTTTCATAAGACTTCTTGTAGGGCGCACAATATTTTTCTACCCTTACCATTTTTATATTAAATTTTGTATTTTAACATTATCTTTAATTTTCAATCATTTTTAAATTATTTTCTTAGCAATAACAATAAATATATCGATAATATAACTTTCCATTGATTATATATTTAATTACTTGTATTTATCTGACCGTTTTTGTTGAAGCCTTTGAGTACCGTGTCAAAATGGCTACCTGTTTCTGGTTAACCATTTCATGTACAATTTCAAACGAATCTGTTCGGAATATATGTAAACTACGTGGGTCAATCGAATACAGATCGTTTTATATCAACCAAACATGCGAACGAGTTTGTTGCCACAATTTCGGGAAATTAATGAGCGTGTTTACGTTTCCTTTGTACAGTTTATTTTACCGTGTGATCAGTTAATGACTTCTGTTAACAACTAACTCTGGATTTGTGTATAATCGATCTCTGGAATAATTTGCACAATCCATTATTTATATATATTTGTTTGTCAAATATAGTGTGGATGTAGGAATGAAGGGATGTAGGAATGTATAAATATAGAGATCTAGGGATATTTAGGTAGAGAAATAAATATAGGGATTTAGAGACATTGAGGTAGAAAAATTTATGAAAGTAGAGATCTAGGGACATTGAAGTAGAAAAATGTATATATGTAGGGATCTAGGGACATTGTGGTACAGAAATCTATGAATATAGGCATCTAGGGACATAGACATCTATATGTATAGATCTAGAGATATCGAGGTGCAAAATTCTAGAGATCTAGGGATATAGAAATCTACAAATGTAATCTAGGAATATAAAAATTTAGAAACGTAAAAATCTATGAATCCAAAAATCTAGAAATATAGTAATCTAGGAATATAAAGATTTAAAAACGTGAAAATCTATGAATCCAAAAATGTAGAAATATAGTAATCTCGGAATATAAAAATTTAAAAACATCAAAATCTATGAATCCAAAAATCTACAAATGTAATAATCTAGGAATATAAAAATTTGAAAACGTCAAAATCTATAAATCCAAAAATCTAGAAATATAGTAATCTAGGAATATTTAATTATTACAGAAGCGTTTAATCGTTAATTATAAACAGTCGAGACCATGACGACCGCGAGGCATGCGTCTAAACTTTCCCATCGAGCTTTTATAACCCATTTCATGACGCATAAATTAGTAGCCATACTTAGTAACAAGATCTTATCCAAGAAGATTCGAAGTAGAGCTCCAAGCAGGAGAGAGAGATTTTATTTCTTTTACCCCTTCCGCATCTCCTTACTCAGACTTGTCGTATTTCCTTTGAATATATTAGCACTTCGGAAACTTCCGGTACGCGATTTTACGAGCGATTTATATAAAGTATGGCGTCATTTAAATTCTGAAAATGATAACCCGTCTCATTTCGGTCGTTCGCAACTTTTTCCTACTCTTTTCGGTGTACTTTTCGCTCTTAATTATTTTTTATGCTAAATCACGTCCTGAATTACCAGTTAAATCACTTCAAATGTTTCTTTATGAGATTCTACAAGATTTCTATAGTAATTCATCGCTTATTTTATTAGAAATGTTTTGATTTATGTAATTAAAACATTTGCGTGCGATGTTTGTTCGTTTTATGATGGCGGCGTTAAGGGCGGGAAATTTGAATCTTCCCAATGTTTATTAAGCTTAATTACAATAAAAAATTGAAGAATCTAATTTAAAAAATTAACAGACAATATCAATATGTTTAAACAGTTATTCTTTATAAACAAAATTCAAAGTTTGAATTTTTATCACACATTTAAGTGCAAGGTTCTTATTTCCGATATTAATGAATTAAACGAATTTTTGCACGATTATACTATACCAATGAAACGAATTCCGGCATGGTCGAATTATAGAAATGAGATCAAACGCTAAGAGCTTCTCTTCACCTTTCATTTTCATTCCCTTTGTACACCGTCTTTCCAATTTCTCTCAAAGTAGACCAATTGTCTCTTGACGAACGTTATTAAATCTTTTGATGTTCCTCATCGTGAATTTTTCTTAAGATGGAAATAGTTCAAGATCCTTCTTTGATGATGAGTTATTACCGAGATGCTAATTTTAATACGTAAGTACTTGTCTGTGTTTCTTACACGTTAAATTCCTACTGGTGCTTAACGATATTGAATATTTTAATTGTAAGATGTAGGAGAAAACATTAAAATTATTTCCGCTGTTTATACATATGAGTCTTTTTTTACAGATTGTTATTGAGAAAATATTATTTTTGAACTTTTCAAGTTTTCAATTTTGTTATTTAATATTTTTTATAATATTTTTGATAATCAAACGCAGTAATACAATTTTCATACTGCATTCAAAATTTTCACTAAATAAATCCAAGTAGTATGAGTCCAACATTGCTCTGGCAAATTTATAGAGTATTTCAATAAAAACTGAATAACATCTTTCACTGCTACAGATAAAATAATATTCTCCACTAGACGTTCAAAAAATTTATAGTTCTATTTTTTAAATCACTATACAAAGTTCCAGCGAAGCTTGTTTTTATTTATGTCAGCAAGGACGCAATGTTAGGAGCTTTTAACCAAGACCCATAGACGCACTTTCCCACGTAATAAAAACATACGAGATACTGGAGGACACCATACGATATCATATTTCAAAACCAGGCCATAGGACTCGCTTCACAATTGTTTGCGAACAAGTTTACGACGTATCATTTTTCACGTAAACAACCTCCATTATTTATGCACAATATTTACAGCGAAAATAGAATATAAAAATACGTAGATGTATACAAACATAGAAAAGGTCAAATAAGACAGAAAAAAAAAAGAAAAAAATTATTTCACCACGAAGGGGTTTGCACTCATAAAATGATTGAAGAACCACCCTTGCTATTGCAAGAATTTTAATTTAATGAAGTACTACACAGTGAACCTTTCCTACAAAATAATTTCAAAAGGAAAAAGTGAACATATGTCGAAAATTTCGACAAATCTCGAAACGCTGGGTATTCGTCGATAGAAAGTCGACAAACATCCCGTTCCTTCGACACGCATTCCAATATACAGGAAAGTTTGCGAGCAGATCCTGCAACGGATATCCCGTGTGATCGATCCTGTGTCGAAGGTCCTCGTAGCGTGTGAAATTACCGCTTAGCCTGCGGGAAAAATTTTCAAAGAGGGTTCGTTCCCCTTTGAAACGCAATACCGGAGTCGCCCGAGAGAAGAGGCTCAAAAGCGGCCGTAGACGGGAGACAAGGAGAACGTGGATAGATGGAAATGCTCGGAAAGAATTCGTCTCGAGGAACGGTAATTCCGATATTTCGCCGGATTTATTGGCCGTTTCGCGCATGCAAATCCGTCGACGAGCGATTCGACAGGGGAGGAAAAAAAAAAGAAAAAGTCGGAACGAGAAACAGCGACCGGCGTCAGCCATTTTCGAATATTCCACGCTTCGGTTTTTCTGTATCGATGCTCGAGGACTTCGGCCCGCTGTACTTTACGGCTCGATGCCGGTTTCCATTTATCATGCTCGATTTATTTTATTCCGTTACGATTGATACAGTCTGGCGCGAATTACCATCGTACTTCATGCGGATGACGCACCTGGTGCGTCATTCTGCAACGGTACTACAAAATCTTTCATTAGAAAATTTTTGGCTTTTAATGTTGAAGAGATATATTTCATGAAATAAAAAATATTTGATATAGTTCAAAATAGGAACACTTCTTTTTTGATATTATATAAGGGTTAGTCAAAAGTAACATCTGCAGTCAGTTTATTATTGGTTCAAAAAACTTTTTGTGTACTATGAAATATGTTACTGTCATATTTTATACAAAGACAAGTAAACATATAATATATAAAACATAAGAATATATGATAACATTCCAAGAAAAAATAATATACTCATAAGGAATATTTTTAACTAAAATTTTAACTTAAAAACAATATTGCTAAGAGTCAACATAGAGGAGTGATTTTGTGTCCCATTTCATGTCAAGTTTAAATAATCACTTTGAAACTACATTTCGAGGTTCACACGCAGCGATTAAACAGAAACTGTACGACAGAATTTTGCACTAAATAAATTTCGCATCAAAGTGAATACGAAAGGAGCATTCGGCCGCAAAGGTTCTTGTCGAATTCTAGAATCGTCCTTTGTGCGTGAAGATCGAGTCTGTAAGAGAGAAGAGGGTGCAAAAGGGGTGGGTGCTGTGTTTACTCGAGCGAGCGGATGTAAAATCTGCAGTCTCGCCCCCGGAGGGGACGTATAAGGGGCAGAAGAGGATCCTGAGCCTCGTTTTCCCGCGCGTTATCAGACTGGAGAGCCTCAAAAGAGCTAATATATCCCCCGGGAGACAATTGGCCCATGCTCGGGACTTCCCCATAGCGGAAGACGTTACAGGAACGAGGAGAAACCGCTTCTATCCACTCCTTCCTTCTATCAAAATTACATCTAATAAAAAATATTCCTCTTAGGGTACACACTCGATATCGTGAAATTTAAGATTATTGCGCTGTAGGTTGAAACACGGTTGGCTATGAAATTTGTATACGAAATGAAATTCTTTGGGAAATTTATGGTGGATTTGGTGGGGATAGGGTGGTAAGAACCGTTTAAGGGTTGTGGTTGGGGGATATGGAATTTGGTGGTTGACAGTGAATTTGGGGATTTGGGGATTTGGGGAGTTGAGGAGTTGAGGGTTTGGAGACTTAGAGATTCAGGAATTTGGGAATTTGAGAGTTTGGGAATTTGGGAATTGGAAGATTTGGTAATTTGGGGGGTTGGAGGTTTGGGAACTTATGGAACTTGACAATTTGGGAACTTGGAGAGTTTTGGAGTTAGAAGTTTGAGGATTTGGGAAATTGTGGAACTTGGAGATTTGGAGATTCAAGGATTTGAGGATTTGAGGATTTGAGAAGTTGTGGGTTTGAGGGTTTGGAGACTTAGAGATTCAGGAATTTGGGGATTTGAGAGTTTGGGAATTTGGGAATTTGGGGCGTTGGAGGTTTGGGGAATTATGGAACTTGACAATTTAGGAACTTGGAGAGTTTTGGAGTTAGAAGTTTAGGGGTTTGGGAAATTGTGGAATTTGGAGATTCAAGGATTTGAAGATTTGAGGATTTGAGAAGTTGAGAGTTTGAGGATTTGAGGATTTGAGAAGATGTGGGTTTGAGGATTTGAGGATTTGGAGATTTAGGAATTTGGAACCTTATAGCATCTGTCAATTTGGCAACTTGATGAATTTAGTATTTAGAAGTTTAAGGACTTGGGAAATTGTGAATTTAGAATTGGAAGACCTGGAAATTTGTAGAAAAACCTGTGTGATGCACGTATTAAAGGATTGGAGAACTTGAAGACTCTGAAATTTGCTGATGTTTAGGTTCTACATATTCAAACTCAAAATTTGTAAATTTTGAAACTTAAGACTTCCTGAATTTGGTATTCTAACCTTCAAAGTAACCACACACTGCACCTCATCACAAAAATAATCCCCCCATAACCATACATCAAATCGCACTATCGACAGACCCATCGCAGTTCCATGAATCAAAGAACTTTGTCAGTAGAACAAGTAAACGATAAGACCATAGAGAATCTATTACAGTCGCAAGGGTGGTGGTATAACGGTAGTTCCCCATAACTCAGTCAATTATTCGTGGTGCAGGTGGGTTTTGTCGGTGCAGAGAGCGTGTCGTGCATTACAGAAATAATTAACCCCAGTGTATAATGATTAGATACATAGGTACAGGGTCGTCTGTCCTTGCAGGAAAACACTGCCCTGCTGCAGCTATTCGGCGGCAGACACCGGTGGCCTGGCCAGAAGTTCTGTTCTGGTTAGGGTCGACCCACGACCCGGAAGCGCAAATTCCGGAAGTTACGCGACCATTGCCGACCTGGAGCCACTCTATGCGAGACCCTGCGGTTCCAGAGCGAGTTACTACGCTTCCAGCCATATGACGCATCTGAGTCAGGTACGGTGCAAAATGATTTTACGGCAACTTCCCTAAGATATTGCATTAAGTGCTTACGGTGCTTTCCAACTATGGCACATGAAACTCTCGAGGAGACAGCCACTGCGAGAAGCTTGTAAAAGTTTAACCAATTATGCTACCACTTTGTACTTCACGCAATATCGTGTCGAACCGAATTTTGGTCTAATATCAAATTTTCATATATTTTTTATAATTTGTGTTGATAGGGAAAGACAATACTTAATTAGTTTGCAATGATGTCTATGACTTTTTGTGATAACTTTGTTTATTTTATTTTTTGAATTCGTTTGAGAACAATGTTGTTTATTGTTCGTTTACTGACTACTTATTGTAAGTTTGATACTCAAAGTGAAGAAGTATATTAATTCCGTCTAACACATCGATCTAACTTAAAATTTAATGTGGATGGTGTCACAAGTCATGTGTACGTCTGACAAGTTGGCAGCTGGAAACAACAGAGTCTTCATTGGTCCATACACCATCTTCCCAGACGTACACGCTACTAGGGCCATCTAAATTAATTTTAATTTTAACTTCATTTAATCTCACAGTAGATGTACATTATGTGTGTCTGGTAAGTTGACAGCCAAAAACAGTGTAGTCTTCATTGGTCCATATGCCAACTTTGCAGACATACACACTACTAATGTCAGCTACATTAATTTCAACTTTAACTTCGCGTAATATCACAGTATATGCTATGTACGTCTGGTAAGATGAAAATTAACAACAATCATATGTGAACTCTCCAGACATACACACTACTAGTGTCACCTACATTAATTTCAAGTTTAACTTCACGTAATGTCACAGTAGATGTTATGTCTGGTAAGTTGTTAGCCAAAAACAGCATGTCTTCATTGGTCCATATGCCAACTTCACAGACATAAACACTATTAATGTCACCTACATAAATTTCAACTTTAACTTCACCTAATCTTGCAGTAGATGCTATGTACGTCTGGTAAGTTGTCAGCCAGAAACAACGTAGTCTTCATTGCTCCATGTGTCAACTTTCCAGACGTACACTACTCGCCTACATTAATTTCAACTTTAACTTCGCGTAACCTTACAGTAGATGTTATGTCTGCTAAGTTGTCAGCCAAAAACAGCGTAGTCTTCATTGGTCCATATGCCAACTTTGCAGACATGTACGCTACTAAAGTCACCTACATAAATTTCAACTTTAACTTCATCTAATCTTGCAGTAGATGTTATGAGCGTCTGGTAAGTTGACAATCAAAAACAACGCCATCCACATTGCTCCACACGTCAACTTTCCAGACGTGCACTACTGTCATGTACGTCAATCCATCTTCGATTACTTCAAAATTTGTCGAGCGTCTAAAAAGCCAGTTACAGCGTATCAGTTTTTCAAGAACCTTTTACTAACTCGTTCGGCAGAAAATGTCAGGTCATTGTGTTCCTCCGAATGGCGTCATGAGCTTAAGGCTAGCGAAACAGTCCGCGAAACAAAGTGGAAGGTAGACGAGAAACTCTCATTGCATGTCAGGAAATCCGATTTTCTCTCAACCGTTCATTCCTCTCCTCCCCTTCTCTTCTTCCTGTCTGTTCATCGCAAACTCTGTCTCTCCCGTCTCTCTCTCTCTCTTGTATCCTTCTTTCAGCAACGGAAACGGAGGCTGCGAGCTTTCGTCTCGTTCGGTCTCGCGTGCAAAACGAGAGGCGTGCTCGAAACTTTATCGAATTTGCGACGGTACAGGCCGCTTTCTACCGACAACTTTCTCTTCCATCGACCCTTTCCAACCCTTCGACTCTTTATCCAGCTATTCCAAACCCGCCAAACCGACAACCTACGTCTAATCGACCGAGCACGTAAGAAACTGGTACAGCTGTAAAACCTGCTATTTTTCTTCTTTTTACTGGGAACAGCTTTCTCTTTCGTTATCGGGAAACACTTATTGTTGGATTTGGAAGGTGTTATCCACACTGAAATAGGATCTTGGAGAGAAATTTTATTTTATTGGGGGTTTGAGTTGGGTGTTTAGTAGCTGATGTTTTGGCCTTCACACATGATTCATTTGTGAGATACATCAAACATGTGTCTATTGATATGATGTTAAAATAAGTAAAGTTAAAGGCTCTACTACTTGTGGATATCAAGATGTTTAGTCAGAAAGATTTTGATTTAATTATACACAGGATAAAATCATGACATGTCTTTAAAAAATCCTAACTCGACTGAATACACGTTACTTGTGTGTCTATACAGAGATCAGCTTGACGTATTTATACAGAGAGGAATAATATAGTGTCACAACAATATTATAGTAAAACAGTAAAGTAATAAAGTTCCACTAATTTCTAAACCTAACAACCAAGTTAAAATTTGCACCACACCCCGCCGTACATCACATACATCACATCACACCACATAGAATATGTGGCAGGAATGGAGAAGTAAACGTTGAGAAAGAAAAATCCGTGTAAATCGAAAGTTACAAGTGTAAAGAGAACGTTAAACAAGAAATAGTTGGTGGTATTGGAATAACAGAGCACAATAGCTGTCCGTTGGCAAGCGGGGCTCGAGAAGCTGGAAGTTTCAACGCCAGAGTACATATCCGAGAAACACGAAATAACCAGAATAATAACCTCTCTGACATTCCGCGGTGCTCGTGTTCCCGTTGAACGGGACAAGATAAAAGAGGAGACGGAGGGGACCGAGATCGAGCAAATGTCGAATAAATATGCAATGGAGTTTCGAAAAAGCAGCCGGAGCACTTTGCAGCTCGAGACGAGCGTTTTACATTAATTTCCCGGGGAAAAAGAAAGGTGGCAATACCAGCTGCGTAACATCCAAAGAGATCGTTGAAAGAGGAGGAGGAGGGAGAATGTTATACACGCGGTTGCCTTCCCCATCGCGATAGAGAAGGTGGAGGAGGAGAAGCTGAAGAGAAACTGCAAGTGGGTCCTGTGATTGTTTCGGCTTTGATCTTGAATCAATTTACCGGGTATACGCGTATGCTTGAACCCTCGCCACGGTGTCCTCGTCTGAAACGCCACCCTCGTCAACCAACACGAAGAAGCTCGGAGAGAGGAGCGTGTTTGCACAAACGCGTGTCAGCCGAACGTATGTTACAGGTGTACACATGTAACCGCGAACCTTGGGGAAAACTTACGCTTCTACTTGGAATACGGTATCGCCTTCTCTTTTCGTCCTTCTGTGTACTCTGCACGAATTTATCCGCCAGGGACGTTCGGTAAATGATACACGACCTTTCTGCAAATTCGCACGAGCTTCCTGGGATGTTTAAGTAGTGCAGCAGGGTTACTGCACTTTTAGTTTATTTATCTTTTACTTCAATATTTTAGTATTCTTTACTATTTCATTAGTTTGCTATTTTGGTAGGTTACTAGTTTTACTGTTTCACTATTCGGTTATAGTAGCAGTATTCCTATCTCTTGGAGGTTCCTAGATTCCTTAATTCGTAGATTCATAGATTCGTAGATCTGTTGAGTTGTAGATCAGTAGATTCGTAGATCAGTGGATTCGTAGATCAGTGGATTCGTAGATCAGTGGATTCGTAGATCAGTGGATTCGTAGATCAGTGGATTCGTAGATCAGTGGATTCGTAGATCAGTGGATTCGTAGATCAGTGGATTCGTAGATCAGTGGATTCGTAGATCAGTGGATTCGTAGATCAGTGGATTCGTAGATCAGTGGATTCGTAGATCAGTGGATTCGTAGATCAGTGGATTCGTAGATCAGTGGATTCGTAGATCAGTGGATTCGTAGATCAGTGGATTCGTAGATCAGTGGATTCGTAGATCAGTGGATTCGTAGATCAGTGGATTCGTAGATCAGTGGATTCGTAGATCAGTGGATTCGTAGATCAGTGGATTCGTAGATCAGTGGATTCGTAGATCAGTGGATTCGTAGATCAGTGGATTCGTAGATCAGTGGATTCGTAGATCAGTGGATTCGTAGATCAGTGGATTCGTAGATCAGTGGATTCGTAGATCAGTGGATTCGTAGATCAGTGGATTCGTAGATCAGTGGATTCGTAGATCAGTGGATTCGTAGATCAGTGGATTCGTAGATCAGTGGATTCGTAGATCAGTGGATTCGTAGATCAGTGGATTCGTAGATCAGTGGATTCGTAGATCAGTGGATTCGTAGATCAGTGGATTCGTAGATCAGTGGATTCGTAGATCAGTGGATTCGTAGATCAGTGGATTCGTAGATCAGTGGATTCGTAGATCAGTGGATTCGTAGATCAGTGGATTCGTAGATCAGTGGATTCGTAGATCAGTGGATTCGTAGATCAGTGGATTCGTAGATCAGTGGATTCGTAGATCAGTGGATTCGTAGATCAGTGGATTCGTAGATCAGTGGATTCGTAGATCAGTGGATTCGTAGATCAGTGGATTCGTAGATCAGTGGATTCGTAGATCAGTGGATTCGTAGATCAGTGGATTCGTAGATCAGTGGATTCGTAGATCAGTAGATTCCTAGATCAATAGATTCCTAGATCAATAGATTCCTAGATCAATAGATTCCTAGATCAGTAGATTCCTAGATCAGTAGATTCCTAGATTTCTAGATACCTAAATTCCTAGATTTCTGGAATGTCTCTCTGCCTCAGCACTCCTATGCCCCTATATCTCAAAATTTCTAAATTCCTTGTCCTACATTAAACCAACTTTCCCCCTAACTTCCCAGTAAACATAACAACAAAAAATTCTAAACAAATAAAAAATACTAAAAAATAGATGGAAATGTGTAAGAAGTAGTGACAGTGATCGTTGGTTATAACGGTACTTGTATCATGATATTTTCGCTACATGGAAGAACTAGCCGTCGCGTCGATGGATCGGTAAATAAAAGTTTCTGAAGTTGGCAGCAACGTCGCGTCGGACGTATAATTAACAAGCGCAGCTATTAGTCTGAAAAAACAGATTCGTAACTGGCGTGGCAAACAAATGGAAAGGGGAATTGAAGCGGCGCGGCGATGAACGTTTTCATTAGAATGAAAGTAGACTGACGAATCGCTTTTATACGATCACAATTGTGCTATTGATTTAAGTGCGTCACGAGCGAACTTTCTGCCGGATACGCGGCAAGCAGCAATTCGATTTATTTATCGAGAGGACTTGGTGAAACGTCGCCCGTTTGTTTTGCGCTGAAAGCACTTTAAAAGCTTCATTTTGCAGCTTGACGATCGGCCGTACTCCGCTCGGAACTTTTAATACGGATTCGGTAAATTAATAACAATTTTTCGATTTAATCCATCGTCGATTCCTTTCGTTTCTAGCACTCTTTTGCATTATTTTAGTATTTTAGTATTTCAGTATTTTACTATTTCAGTGGTTCACTATTTCAGTATTTCACTATTTCAGTATTTCACTATTTCAGTATTTCACTATTTCAGTATTTCACTATTTCAGTATTTCACTATTTCAGTATTTCACTATTTCAGTATTTCACTATTTCAGTATTTCACTATTTCAGTATTTCACTATTTCAGTATTTCACTATTTCAGTATTTCACTATTTCAGTATTTCACTATTTCAGTATTTCACTATTTCAGTATTTCACTATTTCAGTATTATTTCAGTCACTATTTCAGTATTTCACTATTTCAGTATTTCACTATTTCAGTATTTCACTATTTCAGTATTTCACTATTTCAGTATTTCACTATTTCAGTATTTCACTATTTCAGTATTTCACTATTTCAGTATTTCACTATTTCAGTATTTCACTATTTCAGTATTTCACTATTTCAGTATTTCACTATTTCAGTATTTCACTATTTCAGTATTTCACTATTTCAGTATTTCACTATTTCAGTGTTTCACTATTTCAATATTTCACTATTTCAATATTTCACTATTTTAGTATTTCACTATTCTGCTATTTTACCACTTCAGTACTTCACTACTTTACTGTTTCACTACTTCACCAGCAAACTATTTTATTACTTCACTATTTCACTATATCTATATATCAGTATTTAAACATTTCACTATTCATTACTATTTCATTCTTCAACTATACTACTACATTAATACACTATTGTACTAATCTACCATTTCACTATTCAATTCTTCAACTAAACTGCTTTACTACACTGCTGGTCTGCTACTGTACCACTATACCAGTATACTACTATATCACTATACTACTATACTACTATACTACTATACTACTATACTACTATACTACTATACTGCTATACTACTATACTGCTATACTACTATACTACTATTCTACTATACTACTATTCTACTATACTACTATACTACTATACTACTATACTACTGTACTACTGTACTGCTATATCACTATACCACTATACTGCTATAATACTATATGATTTCACAATTTCCATTTCTATCCAACTCTTCCACAATTACATTGCACCACATCAACAATAAATTCCAAACATCATACGAGAACATGAAAATCCGTTAATTGAAAATTTGTAAATTTTGTGACGCGCAAAATTGTACCTCTCATCCGCACGTTGTTACACTCACGTAACTTTGACGTCACACGCCGTTATATTGAATTAAACTGTTGAACGCGAATAAAACAGCCTGTACAAAATAACGCAGCAACGATGCATAAATCGTTGCATGATTCAACGGGTGTCCCGGCTGCGCATTTCATCTTGTTACCGTTCCGCGAGTATTCCAATTAGAAGTGTCGATTATCGCGTTTTAACCGTGACGGAAGCGGCGTTAAAGCATCCGCTTTGCTTTTCATAATAACGAAATTATTGTACTCCGTCAACTACCGGCAATCTCGTTCGTCGCGGTCCCGGGATTACCGGTTAAACAAAGCGTCGCTACTCCGCGACTATTTATATTTATAAGCTTATTTCGCCGCTGAAATTCCGCTTTATCCGCGCGCCAAATGTGCTCGGGCCGATTTCAAATTGTCTCATTGCATTTTCATTAACGAAACGGGTGAAAGTGGCGGTGCCAGCGCGAGGGCGACCAAGGAAAAAAGAACGGGGGAGAAAAAGAGAGGTCGACAGCGGGGATTCGACGAGCGGAACGAAATGTGGTAATGAAAAACCGGTAGTGAAAAAAGGTGGAGGATAATCAGCTTGCGAGTAATCATTGTGGAGAGGAAACTTACGATGATAAATAGACTTTGCGTATTTATGGGGGTAAAGTATTTTGTGGAGGTTAAGTGTGTTACATGAAAAATGTGCATTGCATATGTTAAGTGAATGGATAGGCTTCCATATTTCTAGGTTTTCACATCCCTAAGTTTCTGTATGTCTAGGTTTCCACATCTCTAAGTTTCCATATCTCTAAATTCCCAAATCTCCAAGTTTCCATATTTCTAAATCCCCAAATCTCTAAGTTTCCATATCTCTAGATCCCCAAATCTCTGAGTTTTCATATCTCTAAATTCCCAAGTCTCCAAGTTTCCATATTTCTAAATCCCCAAGTTTCCAAGTTTCCATATCTCTATATCCCCAAATCTCTAAGTTTCTATATCTCTAAATCCCCAAATCTCCAAGTTTCCACATCTCTAGATCCCCAAATCTCTTAAGTTTCCAAATCTCTGACTTTCCATATCTCTAAATTCCCAAATCTCCAAGTTTCCATATCTCTAGATCCCCAAATCTCCAAGTTTCCATATCTCTAGATCCCCAAATCTCCAAGTTTCCACATCTCTAGATCCCCAAATCTCCAAGTTTCCACATCTCTAAATTTCCAAATCCCTAATCCCTAAATTTCCAAATCCCTAAATTTCCAAATCCCAAATTTCCAAATCCCAAATTTCCAAATCCCAAATTTCCAAATCCCGAATTTCCAAATCCGAAATCCCCAAATTCCAAAAATTCCCAAACTCCCATATTTCCATACTAGCAACCCCAAACCAAATTTCTAAAATTTCTAAATCCCTAAATTTCCAAATCTCTAAATTTCCAAATCCCAAATTTCCAAATCCGAAATCCCCAAATTCCAAAAACTCCCCAACTTCCATATTTCCAAACTTGCAACCCCAAACCCCAAATTTACAACCTCCTATTACTAAATTTCCAGATGTATAAAATCGCCCCAAAAGAATAGTAATTGGGTGGCTTTTCGCCCTCAGGGAAGTCAAATTTGCTCTCGACTGTACATCGTCCGGTAATTTGCGTCGCGTTAACGTTCCTCAAGCTGCTTTTCGGCTGTTTTTCATCTCTCTCTGGTTTTTTCCTCGCCTTCTCTGACGCACGCGCGTGCACGTGTCGCGAACACGCAAATGGAATAGGAGGGTCCGAAGGCAAAACTCCGGAAAATTGAAATTAATGAATAACCGGCCGTCTTCTGTCCCTGCACTCCCCGCGACGTGCAACCCCCATGAACCGGTGAAAAACCATGGCCGAACAAAAAGAAACGCGGGTACAATGGGAACGATGATACGTGGGAACATGATGAAAAATGATAGAAAGAGCATTTGTGAAGATGAGACTTGTAGTTTGAATTTTAAATAGGCGATTGATAGGAAAAGAATCTTCTTATGTATGGAATTGTAATGACACTGTAATATTTAGCTTCACAGAGATATTTAACTATGTTTGGTTAAAAATTAACCTGTTCATAGTAACTTCTTTGACCACAAACTAATTTGTTCAAATTAACTTCTTTGATTAAAAACTAACCTCTTCAATGTAACTTCTTTATCCACAAACTAACTTGTTCAAATTAAATTCTTTGATTGAAAGCTAATCTCTTCAATGTAATTTCTTTAACCAAAAATTGACTTGTTCAAATTAACTTCTTTGATTAAAAACTAATCTCTTCAATGTAACTTCTTTAACCAAAAATTGACTTGTACAAATTAACTTCTTTGTTAAAAAACAAACCTATTAATCCTATCTTCTTTTATTAAAAACAAACTTGTTCACACTAGTTTGCTTGGTTAAAAGCAAACTTGTTTTGAGCTAACTTTTTTAAAGTAACTTGTTCGTTAAACTTCGTTAAACTAACTTGTTTGATCAAAAACTATCGTGCTGTTTGTGAAGCTAGATGAGGTTAGGTTCACAAGGAGTCACTGTATAGTCAAAAAAAATTGCAAAAATATATGAATTAATATGATCATGTCTGTTAATTTGCAGTCGACCGATCCTTGTGAAAAAGCCAGAGCACTCGCTGTATCGAGGTCCGCGTTATATTGCCGCAACCTCGTGCAAGAAGGCACCTTCGGGCGCGTTTACAAAGGCACTCTGGAACTGGCAGGTCGAGAGCAAGAAGTTATCATAAAGACTGTCACAGGTACGTTCAGTACTTGTTAGTATAGAATTAAATTCTAATATGTATTAATTATTTTAGTCTTGTTTTATTGTTTATGTTTGTTGTTCTAATTGTCCACATTGTCCATGTTATCCATATTTTTCATATTGTCCATTTATGTCCATATTATCCATGTGTGTCCATATGTGTCCATGTATGTCCATGTGTGTCCATATTGTCCATGTGTGTCCATGTTGTCCATATTGTTCATGTTGTCCATATTGTCCATATCAATTACTTGCACACATATGTACATATGTATTACTTGTAGACATATGTACATGTGTATTACTTGTACACATATGTACATATGTATTACTTGTACACATATGTACATATCTATTATTTATACACATATGTACATATCTATTACTTCTTCACATATGTACATATCTATTACTTCTACACACATGTACCTATATTTAAAAATATTAAATTATTTTGTCAATAGTTCAATTTTAATTTTCTAACTATCCTTAAAAATTCCCTTCTCTAAATTCTAATCTTTCTAATCTTCCTATAAATTCAAATCCAACATACACATAGCGAATGAAGTTAAATTTGAACTCCACTTGTTTGGTTTTGGTTTCGCAGTAAAGAACTAAAATGTCCGACTAACACTGAAAGTTTGAAATTGTAGAAGTGGCATCGGCTTATCAGGCGTCCTTACTGGTGGTGGAGGGTTCCCAGTTGGCGGGATTAGTGCATGCAAACATAGCTTCTCTCGCGGCTGCTTGCCTGGATAGTTCTTGTCCATTATTGGCATACACCAGTACTCCGGGCGTGTTGAATTTAAAGCTGTACCTTACCGACGGGACTCATCATCCTGTCACCAGGGATTTGGTGCACGTTGGAGCACAAGTAGCCAGGGCAGGGGCATTCTTGCACGGTAGAGGGCTGCTGCACAGGTGATTATCCACTTTACTATTTAACGCACCCATCAATTATACTTCAACCCCTACGTTAGGGAACATGCACGCCATTAAAAATTTCTGACGGGTTGGAAGTTTCTTACTTGTAATTATTTAGTTAAAGAAATTCATTTGTAAAATTTGTTCTATAAGTAAAATTATATAATATCACATATTACATATTGCAGCATTGTGCACAAATATAGAATAAAATTGTAACTACAACTCACAGAATAATTACAACAGAGGGAATTATTTTATATAACTTTTTTGGTGATTCACTGTGAGGTTCTATGTTTATTAAAATTTAGGAGTTGAATCGTAAAAGTAACAAAAATTAAAAGGTAACAATTGAAATACGAGAGTTAAAGTAGAAGTTAAAAATGAACTCGAGGGTTGTAAATAAAGAAAAATAAAAGTAGAAGTTTGTAAGATATTTTCTGTACCGTACAAAGCAATGAAAAGTGAATTAAAAAACAACTGATAACGATGTCTTTCAATGTCTTGTAGTCATTTAATTGTACATATTTCATTGAACAAAACTTTCATTTATCTACCTCCGTCGAATCGATTTTATAGAGGTGCAGGTGTTGCTTTTCACACCATTCTCCACTTAAGTTCCCGGCCATATTTCTACATTTTTACGTCCTTAATTCAACATTTGCAATACTTGTAACATCTATTTTAGTACCAAAATCAATAGAATCTGACATTATTTCTTTCTTAGATTTATAAAAAATTGCATGGTTTTTTGATCAATATTTGTTCAAGAATGATTGCAAGAATAGGGTATAAAAAGATGAGTTAATAGAGAAAGCGTATAGATTATAGATGACTATGTGGTTTTAGGGACATCGCAGCAAGAAACTGCCTGATCGAGCCAAGCAGCCTTCACGTTCAATTAGCTGATACAGCTTTGGCGCGAGATCTTTTCCCTCAGGATTACCACTGCCTCGGTGATAACGAGAATAGACCCATTCGGTGGATGGCTTTGGAAACGCTCCAGCACAATCAGTACAGCACTGCTACGGACGTGGTATGCTTATAATTTCCGTTTAACGTTGATATTATTTTCATGCGAATATTGCTAACCGAACCGGAGTATGCCATCTGGTGGGAGATAGACCTGTCTACCTTTTTCTCAAGCTATATTTTTATCTGGGTTTTGTCTGCATTTCGTCTAAAATTCATTTGGATTTTATTTGGATTTTGTCTGAAATTCATTTGCATTTTATTTAGATTTGAATTTTATTTTCAATGGGGTTTTATTTGGAGTTTATTTGGACTTTATTAAGATTATATTTGGATTTCACCTGGATACCTAGGTTTCATCTAACATTTGGATCCCATCTAAATTTCATGTGGGCTTGGTCTAAATTTTCGTTTGGATTTCACCTAAATTTTATATAAAGTGGATTCCATCTTTCCATCTAGGTTTGATCTAAATTTTTATTTGGATTTGACCTAAATGTTATGTGGATTGAATTCTATCTTTCCATCTGAGTTTGATGTAAATCTTCATTTGGATTTGACCTAAATTTGGGCTTGATTTAAATCTTATTTGAACTTTATCTAAGTGTGATTTCATCTGGATACCTAGGTTTCTAACATTTGGATCCCATCTAAATTTCATCTGAGTTTGATCTAATTCTTCGTTTGGATTTGACCTAAATTTGGGCTTGATTTAAATCTTATTTAGATTTGATCTAAATATGAGCTTGACCAAAATTTCATTTGGACTTCATCTGGGCTTAATCTAAATTGCATGATGATTTTACCTGACTTATCTAGATTTAATCTATTTTTATCTACTTTCTATTCACATTCATCCTCTTTTATTCATTTTTATCTGCTTCTATGTACTTTCAGTCTACTTCCCATATATATTTCATGAATTTTTCATTCTTATACATTTTCATGTACTTTTATTTATATCTCATCCACATTCATCATTTTTAAAAATATGAATTCAATCATTTTTTCATAATATGAACAAATTTGCATGAATAGAAAAAATGTTCCTCAATATCAAAAATGTTCCTCAATAGCAAAAACGTTCCTCAATAGCAAAAATGTTCTTCAATATCAAAAATGTTCTTCAATATCAAAAATGTTCCTCAACAGCAAAAATGTTCCTCAACATCAAAAATGTTCCTCAATATCAAAAATGTTCCTCAACAGCAAAAACGTTCCTCAATAGCAAAAATGTTCCTCAATACCAAAAATATTATTCTACCAACTACAAGCACTGATTTTCTCCTTTCTGTTTAGTGGTCCTTCGGAGTGTTCTTATGGGAGTTAGCAACGATGGGTCAGCAGCCATACGTCGAAGTGGATCCATTCGAAATGATGGCGTGTCTCCGAGACGGTTATCGACTGGTGCAACCAAGACCATGTCCAGACGAGCTTTTCGCGGTGATGGCCGTGTGTTGGTTAGGTTTATCCAGAGATCGACCAACCATGCCCCAACTTCTCGCCTACCTACAAGACTTCCACGACGCCCTGGGTGGCTTCATCTAAACCGAACTTATCCTACGATTACACACCGGAACCACATACAAACACCAACAAAATAAAATCACGAGAAGAATGTTTCCTGTCGAGGTTAACCGAAGTTCAACGTGCAAGAGAGAGACTTTGAAGAGACTTGATTTCACGGGAGATGAAACAAGCACGTTCCGAGGGTTGCGGTTTCTGAGAATCAAAGAAAACGGGAATCAAATTGTATGGAAATGAAAATACTGCCCATTTGCGACTGTGATCGACCCTAGAGATTTGAACTCGAAACGGTGCTGGGATATATTTTATTTAATATTGATTTATATTTGCTATTTGTACTTTGAGGTTTTGTTTGAACTGTCGCTATAGAAATAGCTGTAAGACTGGGTAGATTAACTATTTCTATTTTATCAAAACTTTATAGCATAACTCTGCAACTAAGTCATTGATGATCACATGAAACACAGTGTACTTATTTTTACAATTTGAACATTTACTAGTTACTATAGTTTTAGGTTATAATTGTACAATTTTATCATTTTTATCAAGATTATATTTTTACAATTTTATAATTTTTACCAAGATTATAATTTCACAATTGTATAATTTTTACCAAGATTATAATTTTACAATTTTATAATTCTCATCAAGATTATAATTTCACAATTTTATAGTTCATATCAAGATTATAATTTTACAATATTATAATTCTCATCAAGATTATAATTTCACAATTTTATAATTCTCATCAAGATTATAATTTTACAATTTTATAAATCTCATCAAGATTATAATTTCACAATTTTATAATGCTTACTAAGATTATAATTTTACAATTTTATAATTCTTACCAAGATTATAATTTTACAATTTTATAATTCTCATCAAGATTATAATTTCACAATTTTATAGTTCATATCAAGATTATAATTTTACAATTTTATAATTCTCATCAAGATTATAACTTCATAATTTTATAATTCATATCAAGATTGTAACTTCACAATTTCATAATTCTCGCCAACGCACATTGACTCGATTTTCATTTCCCATAAAAGTAAATACATTACAAAAAAGGTATTGAAACATTGTAGACAAAAATAGAAAAATATTATTATACGAAATCTTTCGCCCACCTCCGTTTCGAAGTTCAATAGCAACAGAGAATCAAAACAGAGCACGGTTGATCGAACGATAGCGCAATTTCGTGGATCGAAATGATTCGATTCTGGACAAATAAACGAACAGCGACCGGATCGGTCAAAAGGAAAAAAATATGAAAAAGGTCGACGCGGATACATCCGTCCATAGTAATTAAAAGTATAACTCGAAACGCATAAAAACACTTTTTATATCGCGACAGACAGAACGCCTGTGGCTTTGCAACCGACACTGCCATGCACCTTCAATGTCATCGCACAGGCGCTCATTTTTACACCTCTTTGACTTTTCTCTTACCTTTTTTGTAATTATTTTGACTACTGCAGTGGTTCTCAATGGATATTTTTTAAAAATATTTTATATTGGTTGAAGTTGAGAATCACTGGGGAGATTTTATATATTTGTTTTTTGTCATTCGTTCAGTTTTAACAATTTTGTTAATTTGAAAGATTTTTTGGTTGCTGTTGTTATTAAGAAAGATTGTATAGCTTCGTAAAAGTATGCAGTTTTTGATGATGTTTATGTATATTTTTTTGTAAATACTTTGTAACCCTTCTTCGGATCATGGAAAAGCAATTCTTTAAAATTTAATCTTTAAATTTGAAATATGTGTTTATATAAATATCTGAAGATTTATGTAATTATCTATTATCTTATCAAGTATCAAGGCAGTGTAAGACAAAATGAATTGTATTTAATAATTCACTACTATATTATTTTGTGGAGAATATGAAATTTCTCTGAGGGCAATGGTCAAGTTTTTTAAATATTCTAAAACAAAATTGTACATTCTAATTTGACAAAGTACTATTTTATTTAAAAAAATATAATTCTGTAAGGGAAAATGGCGACGCAAAAATCCTACTATCGCAGACTAGAGACAGCAGCGACCTCTATTGACACGTCGCCATTTTCCCTAGCACTTTCAATCACACACTAAAATGCATGACGAATTAAATGCACCTAATCTGATGATTTATCTATAAATTCAACATATGAAAATCATCTTGAAATATATAAAACTTCCTCTCTCTATAAGTTTTAAAACACAATCAAGATTGAAAGTGCTCATATAAATAATTAATAAATGAATTAATATATGTATAAACCATAGTATCCGAATAAGGGTTAAAAAAGGGTATTTTTCAGATACTTATAATCTTTCGTAAATACAGCGTGGTTTAAATATTTGTTCATGTCTGACTGTTTAAGACAGTAACACGATGGCGAATTTCCGGATAATTCGAAAGCGGAAGCAAAGCTCGGTACGCGTATATCTTATTGTGCTTGACCTTCGTTAGGCATATACTGTTGCGTAAATGGGCGGTCGAATTGTACTGTTAAGAGCAAATATGGTTTTCTGGGGATTTTTAGGATTTTGGAATTTGGAAATGTGAGAATGTGGAAATTTGGAGAGTTGGAAATTTGAAGAGTTGGAAATTTGGAGAATTGGAAATTTGAGAATTTGGAAATTTGGAGAGTTGAAAATTTGAAGAGTTGGAGCTTTGGGGAGTTGGAAATTTGAAGATTTGGAAATTTGGAGAATTGGAAATTTGAGAATTGGAAATTTGAGAATTTGGAGATTTGAAGAGTTGGAAATTGGGAGAGATGGAAATTTGAAGAGTTGGAAATTTGGGGAGTTGGAAATTTGAAGATTTGGAAATTTGGAGAATTGGAAATTTGAGAATTTGGAAATTTGAAGAGTTGGAAATTGGGAGAGATGGAAATTTGAAGAGTTGGAAATTGGCAGAGATGGTAATTTGAAGAGTTGGAAATTTGAAGAGTTGAAACTTTGGGGAGTTGGAAATTTGAAGAGTTGGAACTTTGGAGAGTTGGAAATTTGAAGAATTAGAAATTTGAGAATTTGGAAATTTGGAGAGTTGAAAATTTGAAGATTTGGAAATTTGAAGAATTGGAAATTTGGAGAGTTGGAAATTTGAAGAGTTGGAAATTTGCAAATGTAGAAATTTGCAAATTAGGAATTCGAAAATGTAGAAGTTTGGAAATTTACAAATTTCAAAATGTGGAAATTGCAAAAATTAGAAATCATCATATTTTTCCCAAGGGAAACCAAATTTGCTCTCAAAAGTACGAGTAGTTAACTACACTGTACAAGTCACTTCGAATACCCGCATCTCGCGTCATATTGCACGACCAATGCAAACTACGAGACTGTTTACGACAAGTGGTGATTTAACCCTCTGCGATCCAGCGTACTCTTCCTACAACTTTTGCTAGTTTAACAATTCTGTTAATAATCAAACTTACTGCGTGTGGGTTCAATGTAAGCTTCCTTAGCATAAATATTAGGTACTTAATTAGTTGAACTAATTTTAATTTTGTACTTTTGTATTAATATCGTGTGCAATTTAGGTTAGTTTTTGTTAATAGCGTAGGGAAAAAGAGGGAGCAAGATATACAAAATGAGGAAACTAACCTCTACGAGTCAGGTTCTAAGCTCCCTTTTTCCCTAGACCCTTCTCGAACTAATGATGTACTAGAAGGAAGTTTACAATGCATCCTAAATCGTTTGAGCAACTTCTAGTCAGAAAATGCCCAAGAATTTCCTAGATTTAACTTGGACAAGACGGTGTACAAATATTTTACTTCCCAAAACGACGTTCACACTGAACAAACTTTTGTCTAACAGAAATGTCAGAAATGTTACACTATTAGTCTAATTTGTCACTTTTTGTCTAATAGAAATGTCACTATTTTGTATACAAATTTGCTCAAATTTCTAGTGATTTTATTCGACAAAAATTTTGTCAAAAATTGACAAAAGGATTTACTAATTTAAAACAAACGATGATAAAGAAGTATAATAAACTAACAAAAGTAGACAGCCACAGAGAGAAATAAAATGTGAGAATTGTCTCTCGTTTAATTGCATAAATCGATTTATGAGTTTATTGAAAAGTTGTGTAGTGTGAACGCGGCTTTGGATAAAAGAAGGTCCTCGGATTCCTCGAAATCTCACGAAACGACGCGAGATGGCACGATACACACGTTTTTTAAAATGTACTCGATGTGTAAATGTCGCATGTTCCTGACTTTACGAACATTAACCTTTCTCGCACTCTCTCACCCCCTTTCTCATCCCCCATTTTTCGACTAATATCCCCCCAACGCGTTATAAAAAGCTGAATCTATGGTCTCACTTTCATAACTATCGCTACGAGCATTTCACTACTACTAATTAATATTACCTATTTAAAAGTAACTATCTCTCGCCGCTATTTACTTGCGACGTCTCTAAAAACTCTTACTTATTTTTACGAAATCGTCGTCACTATGATGTATAGCCGGTATTCGTGGATTTATTCGTATTGTTTTCATGTTTAATATGGAGGAACAGGGTAGGCTTAGCGCTGCACACTTTTTCGCTATTACTTGTATAGTACGCGCTGTATATTTCCAATGGGGAAAATGGCAATATATTGAGAGGATACTCTGTATTCTATGAAGGTTTAATCACGATTAAATTCAAGGATTTTGAAACTTGAATACACAAGTTAAATATGCTAGTAAAATATTTTAAAACTTCAATACATGAAAAATTAAAAAATTGAGGAATTGAAGAATTGGAGAATTAAAGAATTAAAGAATTGAAGAATTGAAGAATGGAGAAATTGAAGAAATGAAAAAATAAAAAGTTGAAAAACTGAAAAACTGAAAAATTGGGAAATTGAAAAATTTGAGAATTGAAGAATTGAAAAGTTGAAAAATTGGAAAATTGGAAAGTTGAAGAGCTGAAAAATTAAATGATTGAAAAATTGGAAAATTGAAAGATTGAAGAATTGAAAAACTAAGAAGCTGAAAAATTGAAAAATTGAAAACTTGAAAACTTGAAAAATTGAAAAATTGAAAAATTGAAAAATTGAAAAATTGAAAAATTGAAAAATTGAAAAATTGGAAACTTGAAAAATTGAAAAATTGAAAGATTGGAAAATTAGATAACTAAAAAGCAGAAAAATTAAAAAATTGAAAAACCATGAAAATTAACAAATTAAAACCTTGAAAATCTCTGAACCTAAAAAACATGAAAACCTAAAAACCTACAAACTTAAAAAAACTTGAAAACTCACGAAATTCCACAACTTAACAGTCTATAAATAAAAAATTTCAAGTCCGATTCTGTCAACCTGACAAACCCATAAATCAAAGAATTAATTTCATTCACTATTCCCCGTCAGTCCACCACGAACATAAACCAATTGATAGCACACGAACATCATGTCGCCATTTTCCCTAGGGAAATCTATCGCGTCGTACTTGGAACGATGGACGCCTCGTGTTTCCACGACAATGTTAATCCTAATTT